TTTATATTTTTTAGTATATTATTAATTATCTCTAGGTCCTTAGTTTTGACATAGGATTGCGAAAGTATTTGATTCGAATTTTCTCAATCTCATATATTTGTGGGTATGTATTCTATCCTTTCTCATTTTTGATCTTGTATTACTTTTGTCTTCTCCCCTAGTTAAGACCATAAATTTATTATCTATTACTAAAAGGAAAATACTCATGGATGTTTTTATCCTTTATCTTAATATTTCCTATTTTATTAGTTTTGGCTTTAATCTGTTAATTTCCTTTCTTTCTATAGATGAATATTAACATTTTTATCTTTTTTCTCTAAATGATGAGCATATTTAAAGCTATGAATTTTCCAAAGCACAGCCTTTGTTGTACTTCATTGGTTGGGTATGATGTATCTATATTTTTTAATCACTTTCTAAATAATTTATAATTTTGTTTTTGTTTCTTCTGTAATACAAAGATTATCTAAGAATGTGCTTTTTTTTCCCTTGAGTCTGTTTTTTAGAAATTCATTTTTTCTGTTTTTTTTTTTTGCTTTATGACCAAAAAATGTGATTCATCAAATTTCTTAAAGCTGATATTGCATATATGTACAAATCCAAGTATATGACAGACTTTTGTAAATGATTTGTTGATGATGAAACAGTCTTTATCTTCTTAAAAGATGAAGGAATCTATTAAATTTTCTTCATCAGTTGTATTATTTATTTCTTTTGTGCATTTACTTATCTTTTGTCCACTATGTTTAATTTGAAAAAACTGTATTAAAAGCTTTCCATATTTATACTTTAATTAATTATATGCAATAGTTATATAAAGTTTATCTTACATTTTAAGTAATATTTGCTTCATTTAGTTCTCTACTATGTTACTTGGTGCAAACAGGTTTAAGAGTATTTTCCAGTCTTTGTAAATTGTACTTTATATCATTATATAATATTTCTGTTTATCCTGTTCAGTACTTTTAAATTCTATCTTGCCTATATTAATATTGCTGCTCAATGCAGATTTTTTTTCTTTGTTTTCTTTTCTTTTTTTTTCTTTGCCTGATATCTCTTTACTTGTTCCTTTATTTTTGCAAATAACATAAAATTGGGCTTTATTTTTTTAACCTACATTAACTGTTCAGCTGACAGAATTCAGTTTACTTTTATTAATTTGGTAATCAATATACTTTATTTTATTGCTGTCATTAAATTTTCTTATTCTGCTATATCTTTTCTTAATTTTCTATTGATTTTATCAAGAGTCTATTAATTTTCCTTGTATTTTTTTTTAAATTGGGGAGTTCTACTGTACTTTTTATTTTATTAATATTTAAACTCATTAGTACATAGCCCTATTATTCCATGAAGCAAATTATCAAATATTTCTCTCTCAAGAAACTTTCTTCTCCTACTTCTCTTCTTACCCACTTCTTACAACAATATGAGAACTCTGGGATCTTTTGCTTCTCCACTATTCACCCCTGCATCCATCAGAGGAGAACTTGGGCATATCTTTATCTCCTTTCACTCTCCCTCAAGTTTTAGATTATTTGAATTTCTGTTGCAGAACTTTCCTACTTTAGGAGTTTGTATTGAATCCTTATATTGCAGGTCTTAGATGATCTATCATTATTTATTTTGATTTGACTCTGAATATGACAAGTTTTGTTGCTCACCAGTGTTTTCTCTTCTCTTAGTTTTTCTTCACCTTGAACATTCTCTACAGGTTCATTGAGTGTTGTTGTAATCCTAATACTGTCTTAGGACCCCCCTTCAGTTTGGGTATGTGGTTCTAACCTGGCTGGATGTGGGACTCTGAGTTTGCAGTCCTCTTGAGAATCCTTGAATATTATTTCATTGCTTTCTACCTTTTGAATGCTCAGTCCAGTGCCAGTCTAATTCTTTTTCCTTTTTAAGCAACTTGCTGTTTCTTTATAGAAGACTTTTCTTTATCTCAAAACCCAAGATTTATTTTAGCACATGCCTGTGTCATATCTTTTCTCACCAATTCCACCTGAAACAGTGTTTTCAGTGTATAGATTTCAGTCTTTCTAAAAATCAGGCTAAATTTTCTTTTTCAAAAATAGTTTCTGTTTTATAATTATTTTTATCCTCCTATCTTCCTTTTCTTTTTCTGGACCTCATATTATTTACAGGTTAGTTGTTCTGGTTCTTTCCTCCACACTTCTCTTTCTTTATATATTTTTAACTCTCCTACTGAATCTTAAAATCTACTAATTCTGTTCTCAAGATCCATCATCCCTTTCTTCAACTTACCTACTTAACATCTTAACTTAAAAATCTTTCTTTCTTAGTCCTATAAGTCTTTTTTTAATGCTCTCTTGTACCTCTTCAAATACTTATTAGTTTATAACCCCCAACCATTCTCCATTCTTGATAGACTGCTCTGATTGCCCTATTTATTCTTTATTTCCTCTGGCTGTTAGACCTCAGTGCATGTCCTTTTATTTTCCTTTGCTCATGGTGGCACAGATCCAACTGGTGGATACTTTAAGTGGACTGGTTCCGTGTGTGGGGGGGGAGGAACAAACATCGAAGTCTTCACGGCCAGAAGTGGGCAATTTATCAGTTTCCTTTTGAAACACCTGGAGAGAGCTTTTCTTCTTCACTAGATTAGAAAAAACTCAGTCCTTCCATACTTCCTTACAGCCAGAGGATGGAGAACACTCAGCAGTCCTATGATTATTGAGGGTTCGCTCTACTAAGGGGCTGCTACATGCTAGTTCTTGTCTTAAACTTCTTCTGCTATGGTCCCAAAGTTTTTTTTTCATCCCAGAGCAAGAAAGTACGACAGCAGTTATCTAGCTCACACCCTCTACCAGACTACCAGTCCTAATGTCTTCTTGACTTAAGAGGATGTATTTGACCTGAGTTGGAAGTAGAGAGGAAACAAAGCACATTGAAGCCACCATCTTTCTGAATCCTTTGCAAATATAATGATGAGCATAAAAATAATACATTCAATACACTACTTAATACTGCTTATAGGCTGGTTGGGAAGATAGGTGTTATCAAAACTAAATAGAAAAGAGAGAGAAAAAGAAACCCACATGTAATACTGGAATCATAGCTATGATTAGTACTATCAAGGAAAGGTAAATAAAAATATGAAAAATGTATGAAAGAGGAACGACTCCTGTCGTTCAGGGAAGTAATGTCTGAAGAAGCCATGGTTAAGCTGAGATACCAAGAAAGAGTAGAAGTTAACTGTGTAGTGAGGGAAGGACAGAGAGCTGCAGATAGAGATAGCAGTTTATTCAAAGACTTTAGGGTTAAGCATGCCATATTTGAGGAGGTAAATGGTAAGCATGGCAGAAAAAGAAAAGAACAAAGTATGAAAAGAAGCTAGAGAGGAAGGTCATGGTGGGCCGGACTGTGAAGGGCTTTGTAGGCTATGATAGCAAGTGGTCTTTTCCTAAAAGCAAGTAGTATTGGGGTGTTTTATAACAGGGGTAAAAATATCTGATTTATATTTTCAGAAGAGAATAAGGATTCCCAGGAGAGAACAAATTTAAAATGTCCAAGTGATGCTCGGAGACCAGTGAGGAGGCTCTTGAAATAGCCCCAGAGAGAGAGAGTAATAAGATGATAATCACTCTACAGGTTGTACACTTTTAGGTAATAAAATCTAAGGAGGTAAATGAGAGTGTGGAAGATGTCCACGGTGCCTCCAAATTATAGACATTATGCTGATGTTGCATGAAATGGGAGCATCAAGTTGGAAACCACCAGTTCAGTCGTTCACGTCAAGGTGCCTTTGAGATATTAAAGTGGAGAAGTCAATGAACAGTATGAGTCTGGGGCAGGTCTAGACAGGGGATGTAAATATGTAAGTCATCTGGATTAGGTGTAAACCGAGACTCTTAGGCATGAATGAGAACACCTTGGGAGAGAGAAGAGAAAAGGATTGTTAATCTTGTACCTTGCTAGTATCTGTCTAAATTGAATTATATTCTCTGGAAAGATGGCTAGAATTATCTTTATGTATCATTGTCTTGAAAAATGATTCTGTAACTCCATTTATAGGAATCTATCCTCAGAAAATAATGATAGTAAGGTAGAAAGACAAAGGCTTATGGATAAAAATATGTAGTTAAGTATTATTTATGATTGTAAATAAAGGAAATTACTTATCTATTATTATAAAGTCAAGAAAATTATCATACATTTATGTTAATGAATATTATACCATTATAATTTGATATTTATGAAGATGTAATAGCATAAGTATATGACCATGATATGCTAGTAAGTGGAAAGGACACAAAATTGAGAGAACATCAACTGGATGAAAAATGCATAGAACAAAAGAATATAAAGAAATAAGTTTATCTGTCAATAGTAGAAAATACAATCATCCAATTTTATACATTTATCTAGTTTCCAAATTATTCAAGTATTACATCTTGTGTATTATTTTATTATTAGGAAAGGACATATAAAATTATAATATTGATCCAGTTATAAATATGAACTTCATAGGCAATTTACTCTGTTAAATACTGGTTAATGTTCTTTCCTTTTCACAATATTGATGAGCATTTCTGATTTGAATCCAGCATAATATTTTTAGCTTTTGAGATTATTGCCATAATTTAAAAATTTTATGAGCCATTTAGACTTTTAAATTAACTTTGCAAACTTATATAATTACTAGGCAATGGCAAGTCCGTTCCCCTCAGAACAGTCCCCATCAGCTGGCACTCAGTGAGTCACACTGAGAGCATTTCTAGTTCCTTCTCTTTCTATTGCCTTGCAGTACAGGTGACTCAATTCTTTTTATGAGGGTGTTTTAGTTGTATAATACATGAGTATAGGAACTTGTTAATTATTTTAAATGCAATAGATTGTTGTTTTTCATTAATGACTGTTAGATAACCCTCCATTTGGACTGTCATTTGTATCATCATTGTCTGTAGGGATATGAAATCATATTGATTTGTTTCAAAACTAAAACGCTTGATTTTTTTCTTTTTTTTTTTTAACTCCAGGAATGTATACAAAGACTACCGCTTCCTTGAGCTGGCATGTGATTCGCAGGAGGATGTAGACAGCTGGAAGGCATCTCTACTGAGAGCTGGAGTTTATCCTGATAAATCTTTAGTAAGTGGATTGATCTCTTATTTTTAAATTAGTAACCATGTTTGAGAAAGCATAATTCAACATACTTTATGCTAAAGGAACTTGTTCTCAGTTGACTTAATTAATTTGGCATACTTTTAACTTTTAACTTTGCTTATATTTCTTTTTATCCATTAGACTTCTATTTTAAGAAGTTTACCAGTATATTTGTTAAAGAAAATGCCCAACTTTGCCATAAAACCTAATGTATGTATGTAATCTCAAAGCATGGGAGAGTTTCTGTTTTAATTTAAAATTTTATTTTCCTTTTTATGTTATTCTACAGTATACTATTATATAGTATTCATTTAAGCAGTTTATAACATTCTTTATGTAGTCATAGTATATATTTATTAGTCATAACACTTTTTCATATTCTTTAAAATATAACTTTTTATGAAAAGCTACCTCCTTTCATTATGTCTGTAGTACCGGTATCCAAAATTAAACTCTGGTTAATGTCACTGTAAGTAAAAAAAGAACAAAAAATATTATATTGCTAGTCCCACTTATCTTTATTAATATACTTCAAGTGTCTTGGAGACACTTCTCTCATTCAAGTTAATAAACAGATCTTCTATTTGTGTTCTTTGGAAAACGTAATATTACACAGACTAGTCTGGATTTAAACTTCAGAATTCCCACCCAACATATGTACACTCAGCATTAAACAGACTGTGCAGATGTGTGGTTCTCACTGCTTCCTTGCTACCCCTGAGATATTGTACTAGCCAGGTTTCCCCTAGAAGTTAAGCACCGAGACTGAGCTTGAGGGGATTTACTTCATCTTGACCTTTGTGGTCCTTAGATTGGCCGTAGATTAGTTTATATGACTGCCCATGCACAAGCTGGGTTATTTCTCAGCCCCAAATAGGTATAAAGTCTTCTCAAGAGAAAGTCTGAGATGTGAGCACATTGTGCGACAACTGAAGCATCTGGAGGGGATTTCAGACCTGACCATATCCCTGAGGTTACAATGGAATTTAACAAAGTTCCAGAGGTAAAGGATAGAGGATTCATGCCAAAACATTCTCTTCTTTGCTGTTATTTTAGTTTTCATGTAGACCTCTTAACCCCATCTCTACCTCCACTTGTCTGGTTAGTACCTAAAACACTGAATCCCCATGACACACCCTGTGCCCTCCAAATGGGGTGAAACCAGACTCTTTCCAGGTGATATGTAGGTCGGGGGTATCTTCTGTATCTTTGATTTTTGTTGTTAGTTCTAATTGTTACTTATTACTCTGTTCTATCCATTAACAGCTGTGTGTTTAATGTTATAAATGTTCTCTATTAAAAAATGTACATATACTTAATGTTGTATTCGTTCATTCTGCAAAAGCCTGCTGAGCCTGTGCTTTTCGCCAGCTATCTTTCTGGACACTAGTGATGCTGAAGTGAACAGTGAGGTCCTGCCCCTCAAGGAACAGACATTAGAGTGGATGAATAACTGTGTAACTGTAAACTGTTATTTGTTAGAATGATAAGTTCTGTAAAAAATTAAAGGGACAGACTGTGAGAATGAAGGTCAAGTGAGTTTTATTTTAGTAAAGGTAATTAGGGAAAGCCCCCTTGATTGGAGTAGGCTCCTGAAAGAAGTGGGAAAGTAAATGATGTGAGTGTCTGGTGGGGAGTGCTCATGGCAGAGGGCTAGCAAGTACAAAGCCAGCTCAATGTCTTAGAGCACCAAAGAGTTACAGTGTGTCTGGACTTGATAATTTCCAGAAGTGGTCAGTGGCCAGATTATATAGGCCTTGAAGGAAGTGGCAAGCATTTGTGCTTTATTCTAGGTGAGATGGGAAGCCATTGGAGGGTTTCAAGCCAGTTAGTGACATGATAAGATTTACATTTTTATAAGGTTGCTATGGCTGAGTGTTATGAGAAGCAGCACAGCATGTGGGATTAAAGCACAGGCTTTAGCATCAAACTGTGTAAACTGAAATTTCTGATGCTCACCTACAAGCTTGTGTAGCCCTTTTATCTTTCAAGATTCCAGTGTCTAAAATGGGGATAACAAGAATCATCTGTGGCATCGTTGACAGGGTTAAGTGAGATAATGTAGGGAAAGCACTGGACAGGGTAAACATAAATTAGCACTCCATTTTTATTTATGATGATGATTATTATTTTCATTGTAGATTACTTATGTAAGTAAGTACAAGAGAGTTAAAATATTGTAGATATTTATAATACAGTCCCAGTGTGACTGTGAAGACTTTATGATATTTTTTGTCTTCTAAATGTGCTTGGTTATATAAAATGTCTGAATGTGTATATGTGTGTGTGTGTGTGTGTCTTCCTTCCAAGAAACTGTAATGTTTGTGAAAATGTTTTCTTAGGTCATGATTTGTCAACTAAATTTATTTTAAATGTACTTCACAAGTTTGCTATTAAAAACAATTGTGCAATGCCTCTCTTGTGAGGGAAATACTGTCTTGGGAAAGCAAAATTACCCTTCCCTCTGTGAACTGTTTTTACAAACCTGAATTTTCATGTATTCATAGCTCTACACAAAAGGAGATACTCAATAAAATATTTGCTATTTTTTATTAGAATGCTAAATTTTAAGCAAATCTAGAATTGTCCTACACAAACTATTTTGATTCTTTTACATCATTTTTATTTGCTGATTAACATACATTTGGTACTATTGCTTGGAAAATCGAGACAAAGGGGCTTTTTACCACATGCCAAAGACATGACAGGAAATTAAACTTGGCAGTATGCCATGAACATTGCTTTTCTCAGCTTTCATCACAAACAATATTTGCATTTCTTCTGCACCATGTAGTTCTGTAGGTTATACTACACAATTGCTTGACTTTCAGATGTTTCAGTGGCAGCTAACTACTGAAAGCAATCTAAGTAGGATGCTTATCTAAACATTGCATTTTAGAGCAATCTTAGGTTTGGGGAAAGTGATACTTCTAGGTACAATTATCCTTAATTTAGAAAAATCTGACAAGTCAAAGTAACCTAATAACACGTGGCTCTTTCTAAGTAAATTTTTATTCTGATGTTTCTGTTTTTGTATCACTAAAGCATTAAGTCAACAGCAAACCAGTCAACCCCTACCCTGATAATGAAATGTTCATGTGTCATACATGCGTATGAGTCAAGATCAAAAAAATTCTGCTTTTTACATGAAACATCTCTATTCTAACTGGAAAAAATTCTACATAGGTCATTTTTCTAAATTGTATAAGTTTGGATTCATTTAGATAAATATCCATCACCCAAATCTGGATGAACTGATGTTTAGAATAATTTCTTTTGTCCAAACTAAGGTTGAATACTTTTTTATAGCAAGCGTTTCCTCATCATATCTTTTTCCATCATGTCCACATGGTGAAATGTTTTTTATGTCACTCATAATGTTCTGCTACTCTATTCCTTCTGGCTCTTAGGTCATTTCTCTTGGGGTTTTCTACAAATTTTTCTTCTTTCTTTCCTTTCCTTCCATCTTCTCCCACTTCCTTCCTTCCCTTCATCCATCACTGTTATGTGGACTCTGAAGATTCAAAGATTAAAAAATAGGAGGCAGTTCTTGCTTTATAGGAGTTCCAAGTCTAGTGGAAGAGAGAGATGCAAATAAATAGCTACTGTACAATGTGAATAAAAAACTGGTGGTTATCTATATAAAGCACAACAGCCCAACTGTATTCCCATGTATGTTTTCTAATTACCTTCTGTTTTCTAATCATTGATATATTCTATTTTACCATGTTCATTTTCTAATTACTTTCCAGTCTCTTAAACTTTCTGGACCTAAAGCTAAATGTAGACTTCTTATCTGAGCTTCATGGTATGTGACTCTAAAATGGAAATGAGTCCTGAGTTTACTTTCCCACTATGCCAGTGACTTACTCTGTGAATGTAGACATAATATCTCTGACCCAGAACTCTGGCATTCTACCATCACCTGAGCTTTCTGAGCAGCAAGAATATTTTTAAAATATATTTAAACTTGAATTTGAATTTAACAGAATTTTATTTTTTATTTCTATTTCCTTTGGCCACTAAATTGAAATTATACTCAGTATGAAATTTATAAGTATGAAATTAAATAAGTACACAGGAGTTTACATAGTTTCAAAGTGAAACTTTCTAAAGGGATTAATAGCTTTTTGTTATTGTTTTTTACTGATGAGATATTCCCTCAAAGATTTGGGGAAAGTTAAAACAGAAGTAGGGACTGAAAATGAGTCCCACTGAAAATGAGTTCCTCTGCTAAGACTATGGCTAACCTCTCTATCCAACACTTCATTCCCTTTCTTGTTCTGCACCATTTCCCCATCAAGATTAAGCAGCATCAAAAAGTGTGTGTGTGTGTGTGTATCAATAGCTACAGATCACAATTTTGTAATTTTAAAACTTTAACAATATTATGATCCACGTATATAAATTTTTCCTCTAAGTGTAAATAGAAATAAGTATGAATTTAATTAAATACCTAAAGAATGTCATATAACAAATGACTGATTTTCCTGGCACAGTTTTGTCAGCTCATAATATGACTTTAACATGAAGAAATTCCAGATTCTTCTGTGCATTGAAGTTAGGTAGGCTTGAAGTCACTTGTGTTGGAACCCCTACCCTTCCATTTATGTGCCATGTGGCTTAGGCAGCTTATTTCACTCTCTGGTTTTTTATTTCTCAGTGCCATGTAGACTTTAATATTGATATTGACTATCATTAATGTGTCCGTGAAGCTGTACTTCGCAGATTAGTAGTTCCCTTTTCTTTGCAAACTATCAGTGAGATTTGGGGAGAATCTCCCCAATTGTTGGCTGAGGATACCAAACTGTATAGGAGAACCTTGAGATTATGCTGCCCTGTGGACAGACTAGTCTCAAAGTCTCCCTCATTTAGTCAGGAGTGAGCCATAGAAGCTGTCAGGGAAATGAGAGTCCACGAACCTCCTCCCCTCAGATTCTGGCCGTCTGAAAGGTGCAGCTGCAAATCTCTGCATAGCCTAGAAACAGATGTGGTGCAAATTCAGTTCTGTGTATCTGTTAAGACATACACCTCAGAAGTTTTTACAAGAGTTATTTTTTTTTTAGCTATATAGATAGATGGTCCTCCTGTCCAGTATATGATTTCTTTTTAACTTATTAATTTTTAATTGGAGGACAATTGTTTTACAATATTGTGTTGGTTTCTGCCATACATAAGCATGAATCAGCCAGAGGCATATGACCCTCCCTCTTGAACCTTCCTCGCACCTCTCACCCCATCCCACCCTCCTAGGTTGTCACAGAGCAACTGTCATTTTTCATCTCTTAAGAAATCATATACCATCTAGACAGCAGAAACGGAAGCACCCTGGAACTTCACTATACCTCTGAAGTCAGGACTCTCCCAGTCATAATTCATGCTTTTAAGGACTGCCTTGGAGGTTGAAACCATCCCATAATGCAGTCTCTTAGGGATATGAGAAAGTCCTTTTGGATAAACTTTACAACCGAATCTTTCTCTGTGGCAAATAACAAATCAGGGAGAAGGTGTCTGTTTCACTCTAGGGGGAGGAGAGGAATGGACACAGAGCCCTGTAAGTATTTATTAATATGGTGATGACCACTCCCATGTATTTACTCAGCAGTCTTGTGTACAAGATAGAAAACGCCCATATTCGTCCCACTCCACATAACTTTATTCTTAGCTTATTCAACAGTGCTTCCCACAGAAATTAGAGCAGCTCCATGACCAATAGTTTAGTTTTTTTTCAATGAAGGGACTTTCTAAATATAAATGCTGCCATACAGAGTAGTGGAGGAATTATAGAGAATTTACAGTTCACCAGTCATGACTGCTATGCCTCTCTCAGAATAGACAACTGGGGAAATGATTGAAGGAAATAAGAAATGACAAAGCCATACCATGTCTTTCACTTGTATGTTTCTCGTATTTAAGGATTAAGGCCCCCTACTCGGTGACATCACTGTTGCCACTACAAACAGAACCATCTGCCACTGAGCAGGGAAGCCAGCCATTCCCTAATGTGCAAAAATACTTGGTTGAACTCCTGAAACTTATTTGGTAGATCAAAAGCTGCACTGCTGTGGAATGCAATAAACCCCATCTGTTTGAGGTATTTTCAGCACTATTGCATTTCTTTGGAGAACCAAGGTCCCATTATTCTCTAAAATAGTATTCTATTCCTGATAAAATTCTCTCTGGGGATCTTTATTGTCTTATTGAACCATTGTCATAGTCTTTACAAAAGACTCCTTTTCCCCTGATTTCATTCATTCTGGTACCATTTTTTATGTCTCACATAAGCCAGGGATATTAATGGTTATATCACGGCCACTCACAATGTCAGGAAACTTTTCTATGCTGTTTTATCAGTGTCTTTAAATTTACGTTTTTATTCAATTTGATGGCTCCGATGGTCCTTGAATTAGACATCCTCCTCCGCGCCCCCCCCGCCCCCCGCCCCTCCCGCCCCCGAGTCACCGGCTGGCATTGTTTTCCAGAAAATACACTCTCCTGCAATCATTCCCTCACTGCTCTCCAGAAAATTTTTGTATGTATTACTTCCCCACACACATCCTCTCTTAAAACTAAATGCCAGATCTCCAGCCCAGCCTGTTACTCCACACCCTGTGATCAGGCTTCTCCACACAGGCACACACTCCACTCACAGCTCTCTCCCACTCTGCATCTCAGTGGAGAGAGACATTCTTTCTGGGCCCCTTGTGAGGAGAGTTCAGATCTGTTCCCTGCCCATATCGCATCACGTCTCCCCCACAGGATCTGACCTTGCGAGGACTCAAGCTGCCCTGGGAGTAATGAATCACCATTTTATTTTTTTAAGCCATATGTGGGTTAAATTGTTTGATATAAATCATGCTCCCGCCGCTCCAGTTTGAAACAAGACAGCCATTTGCCTGCTGCCTGTTGCTGGCTGCTCTCTGTGTCTCTATCCAGAACGTCCCTTTTAGAAACGACTACATTTTTGTGACTTAACCTTTCCAGACCCATTTTCTTGAATGTGGACCAGTGTTTATTTTGGCTTCCTCCCCACTATACAGTTTTCACTTCCCATGCCAGCCCAAGACCAAACTCGTAATTTATGAAATAAAGGAATGGTACAGATGGAGGTCATAATGTGGTCTGCCTGCCCTGTCTCCCCAGAATCACTCACTCCTTTCCTCTGCTCTTTTTCTTTTTTTTTTTCCCCCACCTTCTTTGAAACCAAGGATGCAGTGTTTGTTTAAAAATGCATTGGCTGATGAAATTTTCCACTGCTTGGCATGTTGGAGGAGGGGCTGTCAGGAAAGGGCAAGCCGACATACTAAATGCTTTGCCTTTCATGCTAACAGTTCACTTATTACCAATTCAAACCAATGCTTTTTGGCCAGGTTCCCGGTACTTCAAGTATTTCAAGTAGAAAGAAAGGGGGAAATCTCTGTCATAATTTTCTAGTGTTATAAATGTATGACTTCCCTTAATGTAAGTAGAATCTTTGACTCGTCCGTGAGTTTTGGGTGCTGTATGTATGAATGGGATGTCAGTGAAGAGTTACTTATTTTGATTTTGATCTAGCATGAAAAACCTCATGATTTTAAAATAAATTTGTTTAACATATTTCTTTTTTTTTTTCCTTGCGGCTACATGCACAGGGGAACAACAAAGTAAGTTCTTTGTCCTCCTGCAGCTCCTCTGTCTCTTCAGTCCCCACTCCCCTCCTGCATGTGCCCTTGGTGAGAGTGTTTCTGTGCTTTGAAATGACTGTCTGTGACAGTACACAAATGATAGAGGGTGTGCAAATGTCAGAGAGAACAGAGCTTGGACTACCATCGTGGCGGTTCATTTTTGACCTTTTGGAAAGGAAATATTACGTTCCTCAGGGCTGGTTATTGGACAGTTCAGAGAGGTTGTTTTTATAAGGAAAGAGAGCAACACTGAGAGCAAAGATGATGGTTTAATAATGAGGACTCTTCTGCAGAAAGGGTACGACTGCCTGATGAAACTCAGTGCAGCTGACGTTTTTGACCAAAAATCAAAGCTCTCATGTTAATGTGCAGTTATAAAAACCCCAAACTGAAGTCTTAAATAGCAGGATGGCTGGCTTTGTTGGTGAAACCGAACTAGATCAGTGCTCTGGCTTTGAAGGTGCCTTAAAATGGATGGAGGAGGGTGGGGTCAACATTTGCCTTGGCTTCTGCGCGCTTGATGTATTCCAGCTGGATGGAGGCAGGAGGGTGTGGGGAGTGGAGGGGGAGACTGAAATGTGTATGATTTGTGAAACCAGGCAACATACACACATGGTGGAAACTATTTTAATGTTGCTGTTGTAATAGATAAATGAGTAATTTAGTAGTTCATAGGGTGGCTTGCTTGTTAAAATTTTAATTTAACTTTTCCAGAAGATTAGAACTACTTCTCACTTATATTAGGTATGTAAGAGTAATGTAGTTAGGGAAGATGGGCTTAAGTTTAGCAGGGCGATTTGTTTTTCATATTTTTTTTCCGATGGAGAATTATTAGCGCTTTATCCTACCAGGTGGCCCACTTAAAATAGGCCTCATTGAATACAATAAGAATTGAAAAGAATCTGTTTTATAAGGGTCTGCCTGCATATTTAAGCCAGCTGGAATTCATCAAAATTGCTATTCATAAGCCATACATATAGAATTTAAAACAAATGTGGGAAATCTTGCAGTTTAATTTGATGGAATGTGCTATTATGGAATAAGTTGATAGAGTTGGTATTGAAAATGTGTCACTTTATAAATTTATATCTTGCTATAATTGCTTATGACCCAAGTAATAATATTTAATGAAGTTAAAAATAATATTATAAAATCACAAGATAGGCATTTGTGAAGGACCTAGGGGGGTGAACTTAGCCCACTAAAAGTTTACTTTTTAATACAGAAGGTATCTTATAAAATTGATTAAAGATTTCTTCTACAAGTAAAGGATAATATTTCTAACTAATATTGTCACTATTGGGAAAAAAACCATTTGGAAAAAATTTTAGTTCTACCACCATATGCTGTATTTTGTTTCTTGAATAGTAAGTCTCTTTGGTCCTAGTCACACATTACACTGACTTGCTGTCTAGAATTTCATGTGCTGCATCTCTTAATTGTTTAAATTGCCTGAGCTATGTGAGCGCACTAATAGCAAGCCTATGCATGCTGAGGATCAGGCAATCAGCTGCTGATATTTTAGGGAGGTGCTAACCCTTGGATCATTCAAGAAGCATTTTTTTTTTTAATTGGAGGATAATTGCCTTACAAAGTTGTGTTGGTTTCTGCCACACAGCAACATGAATCAGCTGTAAGTATAAATGTATATATACATACATACATATGTGTGTGTGTGTGTATATACATATACACACCCACGTTGTGTCCTTAGTCTCTCAGTCGTGTCCGACTCTTTGCAACCCCATGGACTGTATGTAGCCTGCCAGGCTCCTCTGTCCGTGAGGATTCTGTCCAGGCAAGAATACTGGAGTGGGTTGCCACGCCCTCCTCCAGGGGATCTTCCCAACCCAGGGGATTGAATCCAGGTCTCCAACACTGCAGGCAGATTCTTTACCGTCTGAGCCACCAGGGAAGCCAATAGATAGATAGGTAGATAGATAGATAGATAGATAGATAGATAGATAGATAGATGATAGATAGATAGATAGATAGATAGATCCCCTCCCTCTTGAACATTCCTCTCACCCAGCCCCATACCCCCCTCTAGGTCATCCCAGAGTGTTGGGCTGGGCTTCCTGTGTTATATAGCAATCTAGAAGCATTTATGATTTGTGTCTGTCATGAGTGATTCACTGATGACTTAAAGGCATTTTCAAAATTCCCCAAAGAAAACACTTTTCCATAGCAGGAGTCATTCATTTGTTCTTCTAAGTAATGAAATGCTCAGTTTAATAGAATTTACTGATTCTTTCAAATAATTATACAATGAGTGATAACACTCAAATGTTCTCAGCTGCTGCTCCTTAAGGCTGCCTCTTGGATGATGCAGAAGGCCCTCCAGAGTCTCCCAGTGCCTGGAGCCCCCATCTGTACTGTGAACACTTGGTACAGTGCTGTGGGGGATCTTTGGGTGCCAGTTAGAGTGTCAGCTGAAGCGTGCCAATGATGCAAACACTTACGTTTTGATTTTTAACTGACGAGCTACTTAGGAGGGACTGATGTGTATTGCCCTTATGCCTTAATTCTTGGTTGCTTATGTTATGAATAAGTAATAGTTTGTAAAAAAAATATAAGGCTAATACTTTTAAAATATGATCATTGTACTGACCATGGACTCTGGCACAAAAGAGGCTTCTCAAATCACAGACGGCACATCTGCATGCTATTTTCCTTTTGCTTAGAATTTCAGTATAAATGGACAACACTGGAATACAACTGTGCTGTCTCCAGAGTATAGATCTGGAATCTTCAAAAGGAGAATATGAGATTCTTTTTTCCCTCTCCTGCTAGAATGCTTGCTCTGCATTGTCCCAAAGGCAACACACCTGTTTGTTTCCTGCCGTATATGTGAGCCAGCTGTAAAAGGTGACTGATCTCAGACTCGCAAAGGCTAATTGTTTATTTTGTGAATAGCATTTCATTATTTATGATACTAACCAGATACTAGAGAGAATGAAGCTTGCTCAATTAATGTTTCTTTAGATGAGCAGGATGCATGGATTCATCTTCCTTCATACATGCACGCATATACATACATACACGTATATTCTAAGGTGTATGGAGCAACTCTACTATTCATTTTCTCAATGCCAGCTAAAATGATCTGCTTCATCCACCTTTGTTGTTGTTGTTCAGTCACTCAGTCGTGTCTGACTCTTTGCAACGCCATGGACTGTAACACGCCAGGCTTCCCTGTCCTTCACTATCTCCTGGAGTTTGCTCAAACTCATGTCCATAGAGTTGGTGATGCCATCCAACCATCTCATCCTCTGTCATGCCCTTCTCCTCTTGCCTTTCACAACATGAGGGTCTTTTTCAATGAGTCAACTTTTTGCATCATGTGGCCAAAGTATTGAAGCTTCAGCATTAGCCCTTCCAATGAACATTCAGGGTTGATTTCCTTTACTTAGAGTTTGGAAGCTACTTCTCTAAACTCTCAGAAAAAAACATCTCCAAGAGACACAGGGATTTATATTATAAATGCATTATGGGGCAGAACACCAATGGTCATGTTCTTCCTTGTGCACTTACATGCATTTTGTTATTTCTCCTTAAAAAGCACATTTTCCTTTTGTGAGGAGACCATAGTTGCTCAGGAAAAATTTTCCTTCCAGACTCATTACTTATTTTTCCTTTGGACATGTTTTTCTACTGGCATAGTGATATCTTAAATTTCTTCAAGTAGAGTCTGTCTCCTCCTTCAAGGGGTTTCCCTAGACCATGAATTCCAAGTCAGTGTCTTCCAAAGTAAGACCATAATCTAGGACTCTGAATCAATTTGGGGAATGTGAACAAATACAGTATAGTAACAGGGAGGTTTGGACTATTTTTTTGTTTGTTTGTTTGGTTCATTTGTTTGTTGAGTACAAATGTAAATCAGAATATCATTTTCAGAACTGAGCTTTCAGGTAATCTCCATGTTTTGTCCTAGATAGAAGAGGTTTAATTTCTTTCATTAACTTGATACCCTTGCTTGGTGGACATTTCTAGGAATTTAATGAGCATTTAGTTTTATTTTTTTGTTATTTTGAGTTTTGATTAAGTATCTTTGATATTAAATTAGGCAAATTAAAGGTAGAAAAAGCCCTTAAAATATAAAGAATAAAATACTGAAATAAAAACTCTCAAAATTTCTTAATTATGTTGATACACAAATACAAATGAAAACTAAAAGGAATCCTACGTTCAGAAATGAATACTTCAAAAAATTTTAACTTGTAGAGAAACACTACAGCTACTCTCCTCTCTTATGAATTGTTTATTATATTTAAAAGAGAAATTAACTAGCACCTTAGTTAACATCAGTCTTCTTAAACTAATGGATTCTTTTATGTCCCCCATGTGGAACTATGAAATGGACTGCCTTGATTGAAGAGGAGGATTTGAAAAGGAGAAATAGAACTGAAACATGCAAAAACATGTTAAAAACATGTCATGTTAAAAATAAGTTTTTACTAAGTTCTAGAGGAAATGGCAACTCACTCCAGTATTCTTGCCTGGATGGGGGGCCTGGCGGGCTGCAGCCCATGGGGTCACAAAGAGTCAGACATGACTGAAGCAACGTAGCACAACACAGCACAGTTACATTAAATGCAATAATTTTACATAGTAGAGGGCTTTGATATTAAGAAAAGAAAAAGGAAAGAAAATCCAGTTTGAACACCTGTTTTAACAATTTAAAAATACTTTGTTTAGTAGTTTTCCAACACATTTAGCTAGACAAGTGAATGTTGGCAGTCTCATTAGTGGGAAAAGTAGTTATCACCTAGCATACTGATTTTGGTCAGCCATTGGATTCTAGTCATCATTTGCAAAAACAGAGTGTGCCAAGTCAAATGTCATCAAAATATATTACGCTGAAAAACACAGATAGTAAATCCATGTTAATTTGTTTTGCCTCTTGTGCAAATCTTCAATTCCTAAATTCCGGTTCTTGGTCATGTGTGGCAGAGTATAGGTAGGAACTGAACATCCAT